GCCCTAAAGTCCAGCAACGCGACGACCGCAACGAGTGCTGGCCATCAGGATCATAAGGGGGTCTCCTTTGAGGCGGCGAGTCTCCTTCCCGGAACTCCACCGTGGGACCTGGAGGCGAGAGCCCTTGCGGCTCTGTATAAGTGGCGCAAGGAGGCGCGGGAGTTGGGTCGGTGTCCCGAGATTCGAGAAATCGATGACCGGAAATCCCAACTCCACCAGGTCATCATAGGGGAGTGGAGGGAACGACTCGGGCAACCGAGCGCCGGGCACGCCGTCATCGCGGCGGTAAGACCCGTTATGGAGGATTGGCTCGAGAGGCGTCACGGGACCCTCTCATACCGACTGACGCAGGTGATCACTGGAAAAGGATGTTTCGGGGATCACCTGTGTCTGATCCGCAAGAAGCCAACGCCTGAGTGCCACCACTGCGATGGCCAGACCGTGGACACGGCTCTCCACACGCTGGCAGAGTGCCCGGCGTGGGTTGAGCAGAGGCGAGACCTCGTGGCGGCCATCGGAGTAGGAGTTCTCTCGCTCGATAGCCTGATTGCGGCTATCGTGCGGAGCGAGAGTGCGTGGAACTCTGCCGTCTCCTTCTGCGAGCAAGTCATGCTCGCGAAGGAGACGGCGGAGCGGGACCGGGAGAAGTTTAGGACTCTCCCGGCCCGCCAGGCCAGAGAACGGGCCAGGTACCGCAGGCGACTCAGGCGCCGGAGGTCGCAGAACGACCTCCGTCCTCCATAAGCGCAGGCCTGGGGGTGACAGGTGAGGCCATCTGTCACCCTAGCAGAAGCAGGTCGGGGTGGCGGCGAGCGCGTTGCGAAGCGCGCTCGCTTCCAGGGAGCACAGGGAATATGGGGTTCCCACACGGGGGGGGGGGTCGTCTACTCGTCTGTAGATGACCCGAGGTATGTCGGGGCACCAGGGACTTCCTTTCTAGGGTATACCTGGTTCCCCGGCTATTAGTACCCGAGACGGCGTGCGGTTTTAGTCGGTTCGAGTCCGACATGCCACCGACAGGTGGTATCCGAGGGGATTTCCGCACGGAAAAAAAAAAGGGGGGACTTAACAAATAAACATGAAACGGACACAAAGAAAACGCAGACTCAGAACAACAATTTGTGAACACTCAGCGTAGTAGGAAGCGGCGTGGCGACCGCTTAAACCACTACGCCATTCGTGCAGTCATATTTAACAGAGTGCCTAAAAATTTGACTTCCTCGTTGATCTTATGGATAAGTTTCAGAACAATTTTACATGCGATCAAGACTCTAAATAGCTCCAAAACATATTTAACTGGTAAATTATTTTAGTTTATTGTATTTTCGTTGCATTTCACCAAGTGAGTGAGTTTACCGGAGGCGCAATCCTCACTCCTTAAAAGTTAGGCACAAACGGCCGGTAAAATACTTGTTTCTTACGTTACAAGTGTCCGTGGGCAGTGGTAGACACAAGATATGGACCATCTACTTGGTTGCCTCATCTATAGCAATATTATTTGTGAGTTTGCATGTTTTGGGGTAATCTCAGGAACTACTGGTTCTAAATAAAAAAATCTAGTATTAGATAGCCCTTTTATAAAGGAAGGATATAGGCTATATAACATCGTGCTACGACCTCCAGAAGCAAAGTATCAACAAAAAGTGTTGCAAAAACGGGAAAATTAATTCCTTTTTAGAGAAACAGACGAAGTTGCGGGGGTCAGCTAGTATAATAAAACATTGTTTGTGACTTTCTGATGCAGCCGTAACACAGTCACCATAAATATTTATTCATTATATTATTAATCATCAAAATATTATATTATTTTATGAATTCAGTTGTATGTTAGAACTGAATTCATAAAATAATATCATTTTTTTTTATGCTTTACTAGCAACCGAAATTACTAGTATTCAAGTTAACCCCTCCCGCTAAGCTAAATTGCTTGTGTTAGGAGTGGGTTCACGTCGGTAGTGTACTGGACAGGATTCGAACCCACGACCTCTTGATCGCAAGTCCAATGCTTTAACCACTAGGCTACCGACGCTTATAATAATATTATAAATATATATCTATATGCATACAAAAGTATAGGGAGACATCATCCAGTATGCGTTATTATCTAATTACGTAAACACGTACACGTAACCCTTACAAGCATACATTAGAAGCACTAATTTAAAAAAAAAGTCGCTTTGCAAATCACCAAGCACATCATTTTAATAGCCTGTGAAAACACCCCTTTCTTTGAAGTCAACTTTCATAATATTTAAGTAAATTGAGCATAACTACATAAATAATTTATCGCACTTAAGTGGCAGCATATTTAACTTAGTTTTATTTATTTCATACATGGAAAACTTACAGTAGTAAGTGTAGTGACGAATTAAGAATACGGAATGTCACTACCCCAATTCATACCGTGGGTGTCGTAAGAGCCGACTAAGGGCACAAAACAACGCAGGACACCAGCATCTCAAAAAAAAAGGAAAACTTGACACAAAACCTTAACCAACCCGTCTGGCCAGCGTGGTATAGTAGGCCCAAAACCTCCTTTCTAAGGAGAGGCCTATGTCCATCAGTGGACTATTAAAAGCTGTTGATGAAACTTACAGTTGGATACATTAGTAATACGAGTATATATCAGATTAATCAGTGTGGTGACGGATTAAGAATACAGAGTGTCACCGACTACAGGGAATAAACTACGCAGAACAACAACACTGCAAAGAGAAGGCAAACTTGAAACAATCACTATACCAACCCGTCTGGCCAACGTGGTATAGTAGGCCAAAACCTCCTTTCTGAGGAGAGACCTACGTCCAGCAGTTGACTAGTAAAGGCTGTTGATAATGATGATGAATTATCTGAGAGCCAAATATAAGTTTTCACTTTTAGATTCGGACTAACAGAAGTTATTGTAAGCAATAGGTTTAAAAAACAGACAACAAGGAATAAACAATCATACCGTATTTAAGCGCCGAAAATCACAGTGATTAACTTCCAAATATTTGCTGTCTTCACCATCTTGATTAAAAGCTTTAAAATTCAAGTACATTAAATATCGCCTGGCAGTAGAATTTGTAAGTTTTAAACGTCTTGTTTTATTAAAAAGTATAATTTGTCATTGTCACTTCTTCTCCATTTAAAAATTAAGTATTACAAAAATCTGCTAACGTGCACCATATTTGTTCAAAGAGGGGCTCAAAGAATCTTCATTTCGTTTCGTTCATTGAATGTGGTACAAACTTTTAATCCTTTTTAACCACTATAACTATCTACATTCGGGTACATTCTCTATTCTAGTCCGCGTTTGCCCTACGTCGCCCGCAGCCACACCTCCCGGTTCGCCGGGGGCGAATTGGGGCCGAGTGAAGATCATCCTCAGGGCCCCTCCGCCGCCTCCTTCTGTGACATGACATCTTCACAGAAGGATGCGACTGCAGTAAAAAATCGGTCACTACCGGCCATAGAGCGTATGACGACCGGTAGCGAGAGATCCCCTCCGATGGCTGCAACGAGGACCCGACGCTCTGCGACGCCCAAGCTAGGCAAATTGCCAGCGTGTGTTGAGCCGAGTCCTCACTGCAATCCCAGTGGTGACAGGCGGGGCTCAATTCCCTCCCAGCGACCGAGTGCATGTACCTTCCGAAGCAGCCGTACCCGGAAATAACCTGGGTCAGCCGGAAGGGAAGGGTCCCGTGCTGCCACCCTGCCCAATTGACGGTGACCAGCTGGAGCGCCTTCACAGCGGCAAAGCCAGCACCTCCAGTCGGGACGACTAACGAGCCATCGTGCCTCGGCGAGCGGCCTCACGCTACTCGCTTACCTCTTCGGGCGGGGGCCGACTGCCGCTATCCGCCCAGAACTCAGCCGTCCGCCGCAATCTGAAGACCCACAAGTGAGTTGCCAGCATGTTATGTAGGTATGTTCTTTTCTTGAACGTTTGGAGGTCTAATTGGTACGAAAATACCGCAATGTGTTCTATAAATTGTTTTTTTTGCCTTGCACTCCTAAAAGAGCGTACTCACATCATAAAGGCCGGTAACGAGCTTGACTCCTGAGCTTTCATTGGCTCCGATAGTCACTTTCGATCAGGTGACCCGAATGCTCGATTGCTCTCTAGACCCTACATCATAAATAAAAGTTGCCCGAAAAAAGGTTAGTGGTGGAATTCTAATTATCCAAACGATGGGGATGGATCTCTTGCCGTGTTAAACGATGGCGGTAATTTTCGGCCAGGATAAGTTTTCACCTTGTGTTTATGATCGTTAGTCGAATAGTTTAATTTTACGTTTTTTTGTTTTAAAAAAGTAAATCCAAAACTGCTACACCTTAACAGTAATATCTATAATTCACAGACCTTACCTCAACACTCAATATAAATGCGGAATATTTATTTATGTTGCTACAATATTCGGCTCTGCTAACGAAATAACATCGAAATGGAGCTAGATTTTGACGAGATTTTCAGCATACCCAATAGAGCTTTATACGTAAATCGAGTACACCCATCTATAAAAAAGGATAAAATATGGTGTCTACAATCCTTTATTTTACATGGCTTATTCACTCTAAATTTTATCCTTATTGTCTACACCATAGTCTGCCATGATTTAAAAGGAAATAACTTCTCTCAAACATGCAAAGATGGAGTCATGTTCATACTATACATTGTTGTAACCATTCAGTATTCTGTGTTTATATTTTATAGTAAATCCATCTTGAAAGTGATAAGCCTGGTAAAGAAAGATTACAGTATGATCACTACTTTGACACTCGACGAAAGGGCAATTGTGAAAACTTACTCAAATCTTGGGAGTCGTGTTTGCAAGCAATGGGTAATCATTGTTTTCCTATGTGGCAGCACATTTCTGATTAAAAGTGTCTGTTTAATGGCTTATTACTATTACAAAGGGGAACCCCAATTAGTGCCTTTCTACTACATGGGGTTTCCACCATTTATTGAAAAACGCAAGAACAATATATATGTTTTTTTAACTCTATATGCTAGCCAGATGCAATACGCCTTTTATGCGGGTATAATGTACGTAACATTCGTCCCACTGGGGCCTTTTTTAATGTTACATGCATGCGGTCAGTTAGAGATCGTGAACAAGAGGATAGACAATCTCTTTACAGACTTAAATGACGAAGTTATTACGGAAAAATTAAAGGAAATTATAATACACTTGCAGCAAATATACAGGTAAATCTTTAAAGTTAATTTTACATTTCTCGGGCGGCAACACATGTGTAAATGAAGATTATTTTAACTGTCTAACATAATGATGTTATTTATAGTTTCGTAGACCTCATCAGGGATATATTCAAGATAGCCTACGAACTGACGCTGAAATTCATGGTAGTTATGCTACCCGTCACAGTTTACGAAGTTAAAGAGGTGAGTAGAGAATAGAGGTCTTCTATGTATCATTATAATTTAAATTAGAATAATAACGTGTTTTAGTAGTCAACATTGATTACTAAACAATTTACTTAAGTGTATGATAAGGTTGAAATGTCTTCTATGCGTCCAATTAATCCATAATACCTATCAGGTCCCAGGGAAACAAAGATAAGAAGATAACAAATAATCAAAGATATGAGATTCCATGCAAAGGGTCACTTCACTCTCTAACACAGAAAAACAACAGGGGTTAGGATTAGTTATGCTACGAGTATATTAAGTCAGGATCTAGAAGGATCTAGAAAAGGCTGTGTTTAAGTCCATAAATATTATTGCTAAAAATTATTATCATATTTTAAATCCATGTTCTCTCTCTCTTTCACATTTCAATTATTTGCAAGTAACAGAGTAGAACATAGTTTTCCAAGGTGCTACAAAAATGGTGTATATTTTCTGTGTAGACAATGCACCAAGGAGAAATTAGTTTGGAATTCTTTTCATTCGTCTTTGGAACTACCCTCTTCAGCAGTACACCGTGCTATTACAGCCAACTGCTTATGGACAAGGTGAGATCATCGTGGCTTATTTTCCATTTTGCTGGTTTAAACCCGTAAGAGCTAATGTCAAACGATGAAATGTTAATGTCGGAATCCAATTGACTAAAATGATTTTCTGGAAACACATTTTCTTAGAAACATTTGAATGTAAACAAACAATATCACTCACCCTGAGGAACTAGGCTTCCTCAGGGTGAGTGAGATGACTTGATTCCTCGTCGACATCGGTATGAGCGGATACGCAGTATACTGTTTAAAACCTGCCTTTTTGCAATTGAGAGGCCCGAATAAAAAAGAAGCAATATTATTGTTGGGATTTAATTATACGCAAATAATATGGGCATCGAACTTTAATTGCGTGTGTGAACATTCAAAAGGTATCAAACAGTTATTGATGTATCTTTAAAATATAATTCCATCTATAAAATAACGAATATAATAAGATTCTGGAGTACTATTGCCTGGGTAGCGAATATCACTGAATACTGAATATTTATTTAGCAAAATTTTTACATGCAGCTGAAAGAATTGCCTAATTTATATCTTTATCAAAAGCATCATGTTTTAACCAGACAATTCTGTAATTAAAAAGATCTTTTTGTACCAAAGGGTGAAGAAGTCCGTCAAGCGCTATATTTCTGCGGCTGGGAGCACAACTACAATCGGCGCACGCGCATTACTCTGCACATAATGTTAATGTACGCGCTTCGCCCCGTCGCTATTCAAACTGTATTTAGGACACTTTCTTTACATGGAATGACAGATGTAAGTAATCCATTTTTTCTTGAACTTGCCTGTGTGCCACAATTACACAGAGATCCACAATATTTACCCTATCGCAATTGAATATTCGTGTGTCGCGTATTGTGTAAGTGAATTGAGTTTTTAGAGATTATGAATTTGTCAACATTTTAGCTCGCCGACTACTTGAAAGCCTCTCCAATATAAGTAAAAATACAAGATAATCCTTCTTAAAAAGTTGAACCGACTTCAAACAATACTAACAAAGAACACTAAAAACCTAGCAGCAATTGCTGTTGATTTGCTGTAATTTTTTTGAAGAGTTGCGTTGTCTGTCTCCGATGCTCATCATCAGATTTATATAATATTTAAATGAGACAAATTCGAAATAAAATATTTCGAAAAAATTTTTTTTTAAAATCCGTCTATTATAGCAAAGTTATGCCCGAACATACATAAAAATATATTTAAACATCTGATTTGATTACCTCCTCCATTTTGAAGTCGGTTAAATCTTTTTAAGGGTGGTTGAATCATCCAATTTATTTTATTTTATGTTGTTAAGTAGTTAATACTTTTAGTAATTAATAAAGTGTTTTTGTCGACTCTCGGCATTGTTCGTGATACTAGCTTTTTTAAATAAAAATAATAATATTCTTTTATTAGAGAAACCATGACTCATTGCTTGTTAGTAGTGCATAAAACTTATCCTATGTTAGTAGAGACAATTTACAATATTGCATTTATGCACTCAATGAGAGATGGCGCTGCTGTGACCAATGTACCTGCAATCTAACTTCTATGCGATCATGGCTAGTATGCTGTTAGAGCTACCCCGCACCCTGCGCAGCAAAGGTGCACACCGTTTTCGCATAGTAGAGTGAAAGCAGTCCAGTCTCGCCTCTGCGAACTTCCCGGATGCACTACAGAAGCGGGGTAGCTCCAACAGAACCCTAAACGCATTGTTGCATTAGATTCGGAGGGAGTTGTATGCTTTCGAGTATATCCTAACGATAATCCCAACTGCCTAATAGACTGCCTTGGTGGCGCAGTGGTATCGTATGCGACTGCTGTTCCGAGGTCTCGGGTTCGATTCCCGGATTGGACCAAATATTTGTATGCTCTGCAAATATTTGTTTCGCAGTTTGGGTGTTTTCTATGTATAATATGCATGTATTTACAAAACAAAAAAAAACTATGTAAGTATTCTATCCGTCAATCTACTTTCATAGTACAAGCTCTGCTTAGTTTGAAACTAGATGGCGTTGCGTTAGACGTCCGAAAAACCTAATAATAAATATTTTCCTTTTCTTGTTTTTTCAGGTTTTTCAACAATCATACAGAATTTTTAACCTAATGAACGCCATGTGGGAGTGAGTTACAATTATAATCTAAGAAAAAAAAAAAAAAAAAAAAAAAAAGTATGCATTCTTCTTAGCAACATATAGAATATTATAAATGTTATGTATGTTTAATGTAATTAAGTTGTTAACCTAAATTTTATACAAACACTGAAAGCGTTTTAAATATTACAAAAAAAAATATTTATTACTAATAATTGTAGTGGTTGTACAAAATAAAAAAAACGTTTATTATTTTGTGTACTTACTTTTGTACATTGGCGGAATTAATACCCAGAAGTCAATTCTCGTAACAAAAATTAAGTTCTGATGACAGAAATATACTGTTATTTCTTAATTTAAGCTGTATTTAAGTATGTATGGGTATGTCATTTTTAAAAAGTAACTTTATATTACTGTCTCTTGATTTATGCCTAGTTGAATTTAAGGCATAAACGAAATGACTTCTTCTGATAAAATTAGAACTAAAAACACGTCAATTACTTTTGGTAGAAGTTGTTTATTTGTAAAAGTGTCTGAAAAAATCTAAATGAAAAATATATTCATTTATCATTACACTTTAGCACATTTTGCACCTGTTATCTAGGTACAAAAACATATTTATAAAGATTAGTAATAATCTCTCTTTAATGTATTTTTATTAATACCTTAAAAATAAATTTACTTAATCTAATTCAAAACGTAGTAGGTATTAAGGCGAGTAATAATAATACCCCGTCTTGCCCATCGTATTGCTGGGCGAGGCAGGTTAATTGTTTGAGAGGGTAATCTCTGCCCGCATCGTCCAGCGCTTCCTGTGCTAGGCAGCCCCGATCTGTCGGATGCCTAATTCGGTATTCGAGCGGGGCGTTCGACGGTCAGCGCTGTGTTGCGCCTCAGGACCATGACCGAAGAGGCGGTGAGTCGAACATTTCATAATCTGCCATTCCGCTGCATCCGGGAGGCACCCAGCTACTACAAGGTGCCAGAGTACCTGAGGCGGCTGGTGGAAGACTATTCAGAGGAGTGTACCATCATGTACGAGGACCGAAATTGTGCGTGATGTGCGATGTTCCACAGGAGTCTATTCTCAGAATACTCCAGTGGAACATGCGTTACGACTGGGCTCTGGCTGGGCATAGTCTGTTACGCTGATGACACTCTAGTCACAGCCCGGGGAACGAATTTGAGTATACTCAAAATACACACAAGAGTAAAACCGTCTGTACGTGTAAAGAGGTTTGCAGTTCATTCAAAAGTACTGCAAATTACAAAGTAACCTTGGTTCGTGAAAGAAAAACAAGCCGTAAATACGAGTAGTCAAGATCACTTTTCCAATTTCCTTTAATTAACTTTTATACAAGTGGGCTTAATGCCCACGTTATCCTGTACTTGTCAACGTTCATGAGATGTAGAAAGGCTATACAGGAAATGAAGAGTATGTTAGAGAGAGTATATTTGAAAATGGAAACTTACATTACATTCAGGCATCCTGTGTTTTCTATTAACATAATGTAATTAACAAAAAAATCGGGCTTTGATAATATAGTTTATGAAGCCAGTAAATTTTATGACTCTTAAAATTTTCGAATCTAATTAAAACCAACGATCAGTATTTTGGTAAAATGCGTCATTAATATAAATACGCAACGTGGGTACTGCTCGCGCAAAAAACATGCCGCATCGAAATTGGTCCATCCGTTGGTCGATCGAGGGCTATGATGCCACATACAGACAGACACATACACAGATACGCAGATACACGGATGCACAGGTTAAACTTATAACACCCCTCGTTTTCCGTAGGGGTAAAAAAATAGGAGGAGAAGCAGAGTGAGGAGGATCTCCCTCTGCTTCTGATGGGGAGTATTCAAATTGAGGCAATGCACTTGGGACTCTTGAGTTGCAGGTGTCCAAGGGCGACGGTAGTTACTTACCATCAGGTGACCCGACTGCTTTTTTGCCTTCCTTTACCATTTTCTTGTCATGGCCCTCTAACACTAAGTTACATGAAGCTGGGAGGCGAATACAGGAAGTCCTAATAAAGTTTTTGATTGCATGTTTTCACATTTCCACCAAGCTTGTCGACGCGCAAAGACTGACTGAATGGCGCATCCTTCAAATTTGTTCAATCACTTTTACTATAGTTTTTTTTTAGTCTACAACTTCTCCGCAAAACCCTCTTCACACGAAGATCAAGTTTCAGAATTTGATAGCTCCAATACACTCATTTACGAGTTACTATCGGATCATATTCTCCATGTTGGTGGCAACTAGCCAAGTTCTACCACGACGTGCTGTTAAATTCATATGATTCAACGAAAAAATATTCATGATCCAAGACAGGATGACAAAATTAAACGATCATGTTGAAACATGTGAATAATTGCTACTCTTTATTAAACGTATATCCATTGTTTTTAAAACAATACATGTAAAAAAATATACTAAAATATAGCGAAACAAAAAATTTATTACTCGGTTTTTTTAATAGAAGCTCAAAGAAACATCGAATAATATTCCTCCCAAAATTATCGATAAGCCAAAATAAATCATGCAGATCAATAAAAAACGAGAACAAAATAAGCCCCCATATTCCAGTCGAATGCGCTACCATGGCGACATACTCGTAAACGTTGACTTTGTAATTATTTTTTTTTTTTTATTTATGTTTATAAATTTCAGCCATTTAAATTATTCGCGAGGTATATTTATTTCAACCTGAAATAGTACTACTCGGTTACACATTGAATCATCAAGGATCGAAACAAGAATTTCAGAACTTCAGTAGTTTGTTGTAATTACAAAGTCATCTGATCAAAGAGCATCCAAACATAAACCTATTGTAAATAACTAACAAAAAATCGACATTAACTAAACGTTCAGCTCGTTTTAGGTCTTGTATCTTGAATAACTGACAAATAATTTAACAGCAAAATTTGGACTATAAAGTTACCGTTTCATCCGAATAACAGT